CGTGACACAAGCAGATGGGGCAAAATGGCTCTAACGGAGGTGTAGTGCCACGAGCTGCCACTGTCGCTTCCGCCGCTGATGGCCTGCCGCGGCAACAGCTTTAGCGCGCCCAGAGGCGGCCGGACACGTGCATTTTAGTCTCATCGCTATCACTGAATGGTCAAAGCACGCTCAGGGTTTCTTAGCTGCTAAGGTTTCTGAGGTCGACCGCACACTCATGGCATAACATCGCGTTAGAGGGCCTGGTGCTTTCCAGGTTAGGAAGATTTGTCGGCACATGGAATGGCCGCCGCACTTCCAGGACGCACTGGCCTCGCAGGGAGACGGCGCTCATGGCGGAGTTGCTGCGGATGTCCACCCGCGATTGTGTTTTCGGAAGTGTGTAATTCAGACCAGAGGTGCCGTTCAGGTTGGGTCAGGGGAATGTTGGTGTTCCCGGGGGTCGCGTTCGATATCCTGCACCGTGGCGGTAGGCGTAATTTTCCTCATCCCGTCCATTGGAGTTTCGGGTGGCAACTCATCTCGGCTTCGTGGGTTGGCCGAGTTCGTCCGTGAGCTGTCACTTCCAACATGTCCGGTTGATTTCAGGGTCGAACCGAGTATCCTGAAGTTTTTGCCTGCCCGAACTTCGGTCCCGAATCACGTTGTCATTGCTTGTTCTGCGTGTGGGGGTATGGTTGTTTTTTGTGTGCGCGCACTTGCTCTTCTTTTGCCGTCGACTGTCTGCTGACATCATTTCCCTGTCCAGGACCCGCGCGTACTTGGACGTTGCCTTGGATACGGGGCCTTGTTGGAGCCCATGCGCAGCGCGCCAGGCCCGCGGAGACCCCTGCGGCCCGCGGCCCCGACAAACACAGGCATGCCTGCACGGCGGCCGCGCCCCCAATTCCTCGAGGCCCCTCCGGTTATGCCTGGAGATCCCTACCGGGCCGTCACTGACCAACCATTGGATGTCTCGTAGTCTTGTCATGCAGCATTGCGTCTGGACCCGTGCTATGAGATTGCGCGCCCTTTTGCGCGCGCGTGCATTTGTCTTTGACGCTGGCCGTTGCCGTGGTAGAGGTGGCATGTTGAAGCGCGTGGGCTTGTCTCTGTTGATTCGCAGTGCGGCGCGCGGGCGCAGGTTTTTCAGTGCCCGGACTAATCGCAGCGGTCAATTGTTTCCGGCCGGCCCCATGAGTCGCGGGGCTCACTCGCGAGGCGCCCTTTTCTGATGCTGCTCGGCAGCGCCGCGCTGTCATGTCGGACTTGGCTTCCGACGCCTTCTCTCGCGCTGAGCTTCCCGAGAGCTCTGAACATGCTGAAAGTTGGCAGAATATGCATGGTAGCCCCCCCGCGCAATGCTGGCGCCCTTCGGAATATCGTCGACGCTGCCGGCGACGTGCGCGCCGAAGCTTGGGCTCAGGCTCGCGCCGAAACTAGGGGCGGCATGCGCGCGCTCGCAGGCCCCCCACTCGCGGAGCTCGCCCCGCCCATCGCAGCCCCAAGGCCGAGGGGGAGAAGCGCCGGGCCGAGTGTCTCGAGACTCCTAGCGGCGTCGCCAACGCCCCCGAGACTCTCACGAGGTCTCTCGCGGATATATCGCAGTCCCGGCGGGCCCCGCCCATTCGGCGGCCTGCCCGTCTCAATGCTGGCCTCGGCGAACTGCGCCCCCAGGCCGCGGTTGCCTTGCAGGACGTTGCCCCCCTTTGAGGGCCAGGATGTGTCTCGTGCGCGCTTCTGTTTCAAAGGAACCGCTGCTGTTGGCTTTGGCGCGCGGTCGCCGCGCGCCGCGCTCTCAGCGCCGGCGGGCGCGCCAGAAGTCTCAATTGGCATGCTCAGGCAGGTCGAGATGCTAAGCGCCCCACCGCGGTGCTAGGTTTGTCTCGCGGCAACGCTTCCCATGGCGATGTGCGACGCGCGTGCTATAGTTCAGCACCTCAGTATATAGCGGATCTATTGCGAGGTCCCACTGGGGCGATATTGCCCAGCATCAGCAAGGCATCGCCGCTTTTATTTCCCGCTATCTGCCCCGGGCTGCTGCTGATCTCCAGCGGGATATTTCGGAGCCAGGCTGTCTTGCCGGGGCTGAGGCACTGTCGGCGGCCTCGCCAGTAGAGCTGCGCGGGCTCCTGCAGGGCGAGTTTAAGAGATGCGAGGTCTCGGTTTCGTTCGCTGCCAACGTCGGGGACATGGGCGCGGTGGCGACCGCCGAAAAACGTTGGGCTGCCTGGAGACTGCACCGACGGCGTGCCGTTGCTTTTCGTCGCAGTCGCAAGCTCGCTTGTCTTTCGAAGTAGCGCGGGGTCGCTTGCAAGGTTGAAGCCGGGCGCTGTGGCCGCGGGGCCCTGGGGACATGTTGTTCCGTGACTTCCACCAGGGGCCGATGGACAAGTCAGGTCTGCGGCTGCTTCCTGCCCGCGCTTCCTGGCCACTGGGGGCGCGCGCGACAAGCGCTTTGAGAGTTTTGCGAGGTGCGAGAGACATCCCGATTTGCAGCCTTCGCGTTGAACAGTTTACCCTGGTCACTGAGGTCTGGGTTTCCTTGCGCGAAGGTCTTCGGGCGGGTGTTCGGGAAGTCTGGGCGCCTCGGCGCGATTGGATTGATCGCGCTCGCCCGTCAGATCGTAGGCGACGCGCGCGCGGCCCCATTGCTGCTCTGCGCGCGAGTGCACTCGTCCCAGGCCGACAGCCTGCTCAAGCATATCAATGGACTGGCGAAGGCAGAGCTTCGCTCAGGATGGGTGGCGCTGATTTCACGCATCCTATTACATCGTGCCAGCGCGCGAGTTGACTGTCTCAGTCAGGCCCGCTGCTGGCCAGCACTGGCGCGGGCAAGGCCTCGCCCCAGGCGCCGATGCCACGGGTTTGCGGGCCAGGCACAAGACGCTGCTAGACGACGGTGGCCATCGAGGAGCTGCCTTGCTAACGACTGTCGTCGTTGGAGGGTGTTGACCTGGGAGGCGACTGCAAGACGCGGCCTACCTCATTTGTGGCAAATGCTTTCGTTGCGCTGATGAAAGCAAGGCCCCGCTCCATGGACTTTTGGGCCGCCTCCCCGACGCGCTCGCGGCTGATCATGGCAGCGGTTCATTCGCTCGCGGGGTCCCCCAGCATGGGAGCGACTATTGGTCGCATTCAGCACTTTCAGGCTCTCCCGCGGCCCCAGGGTAACCTTCGCGGCCAATGCAAGGCTATCATTGGCACGTGGGGCCTCGATGTCTCTTTCGGCCGCTCTGCCGCTGACAAGCGGCTTCGTCGTTGCGGGTGGACTATCGTCATTCTGGGCATGCCTGATCGTCTCTCTCTCTCTCTCTCTCTCTCTCTTTCTTTTTTTTTTCTCTCTCTCTCTCTCTCTTTCTCTCTCCCTATCTCTCTCTCTCTCTCTTTTGTTTGTTTCTCTCTGTCTCTCTCTGCCGGGCAATTTAGCCGTCGCGTTGAATTGCGTGTTTTTTCTCTTTATGGTGGTCAGTAATACTGCGGGCGATATATTGCGCCGCTCCGATAATCTGGCCCTTCTGAAGGGGCTGGGGGGGCCGCGGGCTCAGATAGTTTCCAGCTGCTCGATGCTCTATCTTTGGTTTCGGATCTGGTCTGCGCTCGACGACCGCGGCCCCGGCAGGGTCGGCGCTCTCTGGGTCGAGAGAAATCCCACTGCCCAACAGAGGCCCCGCATCGCCATAGGGGAAGATTAGTTTTTTGTTTATTGTTTTGGTGCGCTGGCTGTTTGGCATGTTGGGTTGTTGGAAGGGCCTCTCCCACGCTTCAGGAATCGGACCTTACTCGTTGCGTTGATCGCCTTACTTCTCGCACCTTGGATCCACAGGGAGGTGGTGCAAGAGAACCCCCGACGGGCCGCTGACAGGCTCGGCCGCCCGCCGCCGCGCCCCCCCGCTCTTCCGTCCTTCCTCGTTCGAAAACAGAGGTCGCTTGGCGCAGGCCACGAGCCCCGTCGTGTCGGTTCGCTCTTGAGGTGTCAGACTTGCGCTCGCAAGTTTCGGTTGCGTGGCCAGATCCAGGACTTCTGCCCAGGTCCTGGTTTTGGCCCTACCCACTGTTCATTTCATTCCTCTCGCCCGCCAGCTGTGTCTTGGCTGCGCCAGGAATCATCGGTTGGCGCGGTGTTTTATGTTGTGAGCACGTCGGTGCCCATGCAACCGTGAATGTACAGAGTATTGTCCGGACGCGCAAGACTGACCGTCTTTTCTCCGACGCAGGGAAGGCGGTCCTTTCCAGGCTGGCAAGGGGGCTCCCCAACAAAAGCGGTGGCAACGTCCCGCATGTTTGATTTGGATCGTCGGCCAGCCACGCCGCGCACGCCCCCTTGTGCGCCGCGCCGCGCCGCGCAGCTGAGCCGAGGGCCGATCCGTGAGGGGCCCCGTCCATAGCGGGCGTTCCGAAAAGGAACTTGCAAGGACGGGGCCCCAAAGCGGCGCTCTCCGACGCGGGGTTGCGACTTGTTGTCGTTGCTGTTGATGTGTGTGTGTGGCCCGCAAAGGGGGGGGGGGGGGGGGCAAACACATATTTTAAGTTTTTGTCAAGTTGTGTGTTGGTCGATGTGTCCCAGGCGTGTCTGCTGGTGGCGGAAGTGGCAATTCGACGTGTCGCCCCACGGGAGGCCGAACAAAACGCAACGCCACCCAACGGCACGACCTTGATGTTGCAACGTACTCAGGCTTGACCTGGTCTCCACGGGCTTTCAGATCAGATCAGATCAGATCCTCCTCTTCCTCCTCCCCTGACTTTTGTATTCTCCCCCAGCCATGATGTACCCCCCTCCTTGTTTCCCCATGCCTGTCCTGACTTGCCACCTCTCTTGTTATCCTGTTCCTGTTCGCATTCCTCCTTCTCGTCCCCCTCTTCCTCCTCATCCTCTGTGCTCTCTTTTCCGCCTCTTCCTCTCCCTTCCTCTTTTCTGCATTTTCCTTCCCCTAATCCCGTTGCTCCTCTCCCGGTTTTTTTTCCTCCTCGCACAGCTATGGCGCACGCGGTTTCTCAGCCGCCCCCCCCCGGGCTTCCCAGGAGTCGGACCCCGCCCAGCGGGTCCTGATCTTCGCGAAGCTCCTGGGCATGGCCGCAGGCTTGCGGCGGCGATCGCCTGGCTGTCTCCGCGGCAAAGCTGCAGCTCCGCCCCCGTGGCCCCCTCCCCGTGATCTTCTGGGCCTCCATCCACCCAGATTTCGAGGCGTCACGGAAACAACAAATGTACGACTGGCATTCTTGTGGTTCACATTGGGCACCCAGGGGGCGCCTTCAATCCTCAAAGCATCAAACGACACACGATCCCGGAAATGGGGCCGAGTGGACTAGACTCAGAGGCCACTTCTCGTCAAAAGTTTTGCGATCGCTGTTTTTAACGTTCGATCTGTTTTTGCGCCTCCACCAGAAACGATTCACTGGCGATTTACCATGAGAAGGGACGTGGCGGAGCATTAGTGAAACATAGGGGGTCAACATTCGCGCATCCCCTCCAATTTGCTGACCGTCCCCGGCGGCGTGTGTTCACTGCGTAGGTATCCTGCTGGTGTGCAGTCATCGCGGTGCCGTTTGAGCCCTCTTGGGGCCGCCTTGGAGGCCATCGACCAAACAGGGGGGGGGGGGGGGCTAGCTATTGCTGCCCATTTGGAGCTCGACAAACTGTCCCGTGGAGCCTTTTGGGTTTCTCTTGGGTAGTTTTTGTGCCGCGTTCTGGGCCTTTTCGGGCCAACTCTTGGCATCAGAAGCCAATCGGAAGCGATGGCGCGAGAAAGCGAAATGAATTGAACGATTGATGTGGTCTTGGGTATCGGGATTACCCCCGTGTCCAAAGTCTGGAGTGATTCATAATTGTGCGATGCCCCCTCCCCGGTCTATCCTCCTGCCCCTGTCCTGCCGTCTCCTCCCTCTTACTCACATTCCACCCACCCTATACTCACTCGTAGCCAGACGCATTCAGGTTATGCGAGTTACGTTTTTACATACCCAACGATTGGCCAAAGGCCGATAAGGAGGTTCTTAGAGGGAACCAGCGACGGGTCAACCATCCGGACAGCCGTCTCCACCGACAAACTTTTATGTGTTTCGTTATCTGTCGCTTCACTTCATGTTTTCTATCATCACGGTCAATACATATATGTCGATATTCTATGTGTTGATCGATTCCAGTATCGTCTTCAATATTCCACAGGTTTACGCCATTCTGCCGAACCCCAGAGGGGGAAAAACAAGTCCACGGGTGAGCTCTTCTGGGGGCCTCTTTTGGACATCTTGGGGGCTGCTTTGGGCCTTCTTGGGCGCCTGGCGGCAGTCTCGAGGATCCTCGTGGGGCGGAGAGCTCGAAATCTAGATTCGAGTTGCCCCTCTTGGGCCCCTTTCGGGGCCTTGTTGGGGCCGTCTTTGGCGACTCGTGGGCCGTGTTGGGGCCCTCTGGGGCCGTCTTGGGGCCCTGTTGGGGACTTTTTCGGCAGTCTTGGAGCGATCTTGGGCGCCTCTTGAGCAGTCTTGGACTCTTGTGAGACCAAACAGGCGAACATGCAACAAACAATTGGGGCGATTTGTCCCCCTTGGGGCTTTCTCGGGGGTCATCTTGGAGCCTTTTTTCGGTGTATCTTGGAGGCAACTTGGGCAGTCTTGAGGCCGTCTTGGTTATTTTTGAAGTATCCTCGGCGTTCTAAAGCCCAGCAAGAGCCAGCTGAGAGTCCACAGGGTGTAGATTTGGATGTTCCCGAGGCCCCAGGGGTGCGTTTAGGAACCCAGGGACTTTTGAACACGGAGGTCAACGGCGAGTCTACGAGCGACGCGCCTGCGTCCGCCGCAGCTTGGGCTCCAGCGGCGCGCCTCCAGCAGATGACTACCCCGATCTCGGGATAAAGCCGCATCCCAGTATCGGAAAAGGAGTCTTCCATATCCTTCGACGATGCGTTATCCCATCTCGTGCCTTACGTCTTATCTACCTGCGCCGATACGTGTATGAATAAGCTATCGGATACTTTCACACGCCTGAAGCGTAACGTATGGTACGGTCGACCATGCCACTTCCGACTTGGACGCGGAGCTGGCCTCATCTTCGTGTGGCTGGCGCCCGACGGCAGCCCGACGGCGCCCGACGGCATCCGACGCCGTGCTGACGACGCCGCCGCCGTTACGACAGGTGTCCGGCTGGCGCCCGACGGCGCCCGACGCCGATTCCGACGACGCCACCGCCGTTACGACAGGTACCCGGCTTGCGCCCGACGACAGCCCGACGGCGCCCGACGCCGTTCCGACGACGCCGCCGCCGTCACGACAGGTGCCCGGTTGGCACCCGACGGCAGCCCGACGGCGCTCGACGGCATCCGACGCCGCTCCGACGCCGCTCCGACGACGCGGCCGCCGCCGTTATGACAGGTGCCCATGGCCTTGCCGACACAGGTGGCTATGACAAACCTCAACCCACAATCGACCCACATGGCACTACTTCCTGCACCAATGGTGCACTCCAGATGGGGCGGAAATTCGGGCAGTTGTTCACGACCGTAACCCCCATTAGCCGTCACACAGCAGACTCGCTGCCACCATTCAACGCAACAAACCTGAAACTTGCCGACCCGCCGCATGCTGACAGGAACCGACCCATGCCACGAACTTATTTCTCAATCGACCCACGCCACCGACCCACGCAACAAAGTCGAACCACAGCCGACGCACGACCACCCTACACAGACCCACAACAACTGGTCCATCCCAGCTTCAGGCCACTGCCGACCCGCGGCCAACCCAGAACAACGGACCCACAGCGGAACACCAACAACCCCGACTCTTGGCCCATCTCCGACTCCAGCGCCCGCCCCAATTCCGACTCCGACTTCGACGCGGTGCAGCTGACGCGATTGGGGGCGGACAAATCTTGCCCCCCCCCTCACCAGCTCGCACTGATGCAGCGCTGGCCGCACGAGCCAGTCGCGCTACAAAGCGACAGTGTTGCACAAGCCAATCGCGCTACAAAACGCCGCTGTTGTACACGCCAGTCGCGCTACAACACGCTGCTGTTATTTGCTGTGGGTGTAATAAGCAGCACGTTGGGGAACCCAACCAGTACGACAATGAACATCAATTTTCCTGGATGCCATGCTCGAACTACCGCCCACAGGATCCAACGCCCACCACCACCCCAAGCGCCGCCGCGACAGGTTCTCACACCGATGCGCAGCTCACCGACCCACAGGCTCGCTTGAAGCAAAAATGGGCAACTCAAGATGGGGCGGAAATTCGGGCAGTTATTCCATGACGCAACCCACAGCCGACCCACGGCAGATCCACGGCAACCAACCCACCGACCCACAGCACCTGACCCACGGCGACTACAGCGCCGACTCGCCGACTCCCGCGCCGACCATCTCACCGACTCCCACCCGACCGGCTCACCGACTGCGGTGCCGACCAGCTCGCCGACTCCAGCGCTGACCAGCTTGTCGACACCCGGCCCGACCAGCTCACCGACTCCCGCGCCGACCAGCTCGCTCACTCCTCCGCCGGCTGGTTCACCGACCCCCGCCCCGACCAGCTCACGGGCAGTAAGGAGAGGAGGACGGGGAGGACGGCGGATATGTCAACGCGGAGGCAACGCAGGGGCAGACGGAGAGACGGGTGAGGAGGCCAATCAGGCGCAGATCAGCTCGCCGACTCCCGCGCCGACCAGCTCGCTGACTCCCGCACCGACCTGCTCGCCGACCTGCTCATCCACTCTCTCACGGACGAGCCCGCCGACTCCCGCACCGACCAACTCGCCGGCTCCAGCACCGAACAACTCCGCACTTCGCGAAGACGTTCGAGGACACGGCCCCTCCACCCACATCCTGACCCGACGTTGCATTCCGAGCGCCTCCCATCCACTACCCCCGGTGCCATGAATCCACGGCACCTCCAGGACCAACAACTGACACGCAGCAGTCTCGCAACAACCGACTCACGCAACAAACTCGAAACACGACCGACCCGCGCCAACCGACCCTCGCAACAACCTCCAATTGCGACCGCCCCACTGCTGGTCCACAGCAGACCCACGCAACCGCCACACAACAGGCCGACAACGCCCAACCCGGGCAGCGAACCGCAGTCACCCCACAGCTGACCCTCAGCAGTCGCCCCGCCTCAGCAGCCACCCCGCACAGCAACTTCTTACATAAACGGCGCTCCCCAGATGGGGCGGAAATTCGGGCAGTTATTCACGAACATAACTCACATTAGCCATCATGCAGCAGACGCGCTGCAACCGTTCAACGCAACAAGCCCGAAGTTTGCCGACCCGCAGCATGCGGACAGGAACCGACCCATGCCACGAACTCAGTTCTCCAGGACCCCTTGCCGAACCACCGCCACAGACCCACGCAACAAAGTCGAACCACAGCCGACACACGTCTACCCTACACAGACCCACAACAACTGGTCCATCCCAGCCCCACAACAACGGTCCCTCGCAACATACCCGGGACACTACCGACCCGCGGCCAATCCAAACAATGGACTCGCAGCAGAAGACCAACAACGGACCCACGCATACGCCGGCTCCCCAGGCCACGACGGCACCCAAGGCCTCAGCGACCCTCAACTCGCCTTCCCATGAAGGGGAGGCGTGAGGAATTAACCGACACCAACCCCGGCGCCAACGGCGCCAGCTACTGGCTCCGATTCCAGCGCCCGCCCCAATTACGACTCCGACTTCGACGCGGGGCAGTTGACGCGACAAAGGGCGGACAAATCATGCCCCCCCTCACCACATCAAGCACCGACCCCGTCCCCGGGAGGTCTGGACCAAACGGCTACCAGCTCCCGTTCCCACCAGCACATCGACTCCCGCATCGACCAGCTCGACCCCGTCCCCGGGAGGTCTGGACCAAGCGGTTCCCGACTCCCGCTCCGAGCAGCACATCGACTCCCGTATCGACCAGCTCACCGACCCCGTCCCCGGGAGGTCTGGACCAAGCGGTTCCTGACTCCCGCTCCGAGCAGCACATCGACTCCCGCATCGACCAGCTCACCGACCCCGTCCGCAGGAGGTCTGGACCAAGCGGTTCCCGACTCCCGCTCCGAGCAGCACATCGACCCCCGCATCGACCAGCTCAC